TTTTATTTGTATTTTTTTTTCTCTTCATGAAAACTCAAATAAAATTTACAAAAAACAAAACAAAACCCTTCCGCTGCTCTGCTTGGTTTATTTAAGACATTGAAGAAATGCCTCTTCTGTGGCATTTCTTAGCACCTCATGAAGGTAAAACTAGCTTCAGGAAGAATTTTGTTTAACCTTGCTCTTTTGCTCTTGTTCTTTGCAGCAAGACCCTCTCATGTTTGTTATTTTGGCAAGAAATGTACTATACTCCAAAGAGTTACCCCAATAGACTATCCCAGGTTAAACGGTTGTCAAAATAAGCAATATCTTGGCAGCTGTTAGCTACATCACTGTTGGCTTAGTTTTTCTTCCTTGGATCGGGATTGAGAAGATGAGACAGCAAAACAGCTGCCAATCAAACGGGGGTTGTCAAAATATTTCCAGTCCCATGATGAGAGCAAGGAGAGCCAGTTTTTGCTTCTCAGGGTAAATGTGGAAACAACTGATGTGTTATTCTAATAAATGTGTGTTCCTAACCTGTGTTTGTTTAAATTACATAGAGCAGCCCAATTTGGAAGATGAATTTATGGATGAGATGAAAGACTGATGAACCAATTCATCACTTGCTGATTCTCCCTCATAAATCACATCCCTTCTAGTTTCTGTTCTACCCAAGCTGCACTCTTGGGGAAATTGTAGTCTAGCTTGGGGAGGTTTTTAATTTATATGTGTATGCATATATTATTTTATATTCTACCCCTCTTCCCTGTTGGAATTCCACCCAGGAGACATGCTTAATTTCAGAAGGAACTTCAGATACTACAATACCATGGGGTTAGATGCAGCAGAGAATTGACAGAGAAGGAAATGGTGTTAGGAAGTTTCTACATACTTTGGTAAAGATAGCCTGCAGTAGAAAATAGGAGCTCCATTTCAGCTTTGGTCTTTTAATCCATCTTCTTTGTACTATTATTGCATGCAAAATTGTCCAAGTAATCCCCAAGGAAGCTCTATGTCAACTCCAACCGTCCTGTTTAAGGGAAGGATAAATTATACAGTACGTTATAGTATATTTATAAGCAACCACGATTTATACACAGTACTTATTTTCTTGATGTTGAATTTAAAAGAAATAGACTAAACCTTGACTGATTGGAATAGTCTGTAATGCCAGGATTCAAGTTTGTCATGCTGTATTGATGTTGCCAAATAAAATCATGTCAATTTGTGTAGAATAGCCATTGAGGGACATAGAAGAAAAGTCCATAGTGCCCTCAAATTTAGGAGGAAAAGCATGTCACGGGAGCTGGAGATTACTTCACTGGATGCACCGAATAGCTAAAGTGATTAGAATTTAAATTGGGGTGAAATAGGGGAGGGGGAGGGAAAGACAGGGCAGTTATGCAGGAACAAATTACACGTGAGATAGATTTACAAGTGCCTTATTCCCTAACAATTGTAGTTTGTTAAAAGCTTGTTGTGTTTGTTGAATTCTTCTGAGATAGCCTGAAACACTGTATTGTATGTGACTTGAATAGTCTCTTGCTCAATGGTACTGCTAAAGTTTCTTTCCCCCCCACCCCCTAAAAATGATTGCAGGTAGTCCTCAACTTAAAACAGTTCATTTAGTGACTACAAAGTTACAACGGCACTGAAAAAAGTGACTTATGACCATTTTTCACACTTATGACCATTGCCACATCTCTATGGTCATGTGAGTTACATTTGGATGCTTGACAACTGACTCATATTTATGATGATTACAGCATCCTGGAGTCATGTGATCCCATTTTGCACCCTTCTGACAACCAAAGTCGGTGTGGAAACCAGATTCGCTTAACAAACGTGTTACAAATTTAAGAACTGCAGGTATTCACTTAACAAATGTAACAAGAAAAGTCATAAAATGGAACAAACTCACTTAGCAAATTTCTCACTTAACAACATCAATTTTGGGCTCAGTTGTGGTTGTAAGTTGAGGACTACCTGTATTAGCTTTGTGCTAAGGAATTTTCTTCCTCCTCTTTTCAACCCAGGAAGGAAAAATAAAAAGCAGATCCCTTGTTTTCTTTTTTGTCTCTGACACTTCATTGATGATTCCCCAAATATAGATAGACAATCTCCAAAATTACAACTTTGTTTTCTTTTGATTTGCTAAATTCCTCAGTGACTGGGTTAAAAAATCCTTGATAATTCTGGAATTAGAGGGGTAACAAGAATTCCTGCCAAGCAGGGGGAACATTAAGCAATTTGGCTTTCTCTTCCTCCCCTTCTTTCTTCAACACAAACCACACCAGCTTCCATCACACCAGTCAGCAGTTGATAGCAGATTCTGGTATATTTATACATTAATTGGTCCATGATTCAAATCTTTCCTCTGAACCCAACCTGCGAATTCTTCTGAAGTTTTGCATCTACCGGTTTTCTCCAGTGCCACTTGAAGAGCGATTTCCATTTCTGTGTTTAGATCGAGCCTGTTCTCCCCCTCCCCTCTTTCCAACATTTTTAGGCAGACTCTTATAAATATCAAGATTATCATTCATTTTCTTCACTGAATTTTGCTGCAGTGTTGTTCTTAATGCTCACCTAATGCTTAAAGATTCTAATTCTGTTTAGTAACATTCTCTTGTATATGTGCAATTCCAGTATCATTGATGAATTTATTTGGGTTCTTCTGTAATTCAAACAAACAAACCCTACCACTTTCAGATCTGTGACTGTTGCCTTTTGGGTGGCAAATTTTTATTACGTATTCATGGTTCAATGTCACAAGATCCTGCATATGTAGCTGTGTAAGATAGGTGGATAGATCTGAAAGGGGAGGAGGGATAGGTAGGTTGGTGGATAGAGATAGGTAGGTAGGTAGGCAGACAGGCAGGCACATAGACAGATCTGAGGCAGAGAGAGAGAGATGGGTAATTCTTGTTTAGTGACCACAGTTGGGATTGTCAACTTGGTTACTAAGCAAAACAGCCACTAAGGGAAACCTAACCTCTCACATATAAGGGCTGTGGATTATGATTTCAGAACCATAATAATCAGATTATCCTTAAACCTATTAACTTACTCTACAGGCATAGATAAAATACTAGAATTCTCATTAGCTAGTTTTCTGGATGAAATAGGTTAGCATTTTCAGAAGGCTGCCTCTGTCTTATCTGGGGACTACAGGGTATAATTATTGAAATATAAAATGAATTTGCAACCTCCTGAGATATATCTGTTACTATAATAGTCAGGGATTTCATTGCTACTATTTATGGTAATTAATCTATCGCAGTTCTCTACTCTTCTGAGCCAACCTTTAGGGAGAGAGGAATGGCAAGCTAGAGTTTTTGAAATAAAGCTTTAAAAAACCATTACAGTTGTCTGGAAGACATCAAGGGTGCACATTTTCTACAAGCAACCAATTTTCTGCCAGTCTTTGCTACTGGCAAAATAATTTTGGGAGACCAAGGGTTAATTCCAGCCTGGAACTTCAGTGCAGAGGTTATCCCCTATGGCTTGTATAAATATTTGCCACTGGGTGTGATCTCTATATTATCCTGGCTCTGATCATCTGATGGGGCCCTTGGTTATATAAACACCACCGCCCAGGGTTGATGCTGAGATTGTGAGTAGTTCGCATTAACAGTATAATGCTTTTTATCTAATAATAGTTATTTACTTGGCACTCCAGGTGATTTTTATCCAAGAGGAATAAACTGTATTTAGCAAAAGGTTCATAGGTGGAACAGGAGATAAATTTCCTTATTTTTCTGCCAATGTTTATTTTTTTTCTCCTCCTCCAGTGCTTTGTTATTATTTCAGCAGTTCCTAAGGGGAGGGGGTCAGATTATTCATTTGAAAGACTGAAACACTGAGAACTGAACATGGATCACCCCTCTTTAACTTTCAAAGGGTCCCGAGTGCTCTGTAGCATGAGCAGTCATTGAGAGCAGACACAGAGGACATGAGGATTGAGAGGCAGAGGGTCGCAGGGGCAAGGGCCAGCAAAACAGCAAATAATAAGTGACAGGAAGATGAAAACCATCTGTTTAGTTCCTCCTAAAAATGTGGTGCAGAGAAGAGAGGGAGCAATTACCACTCAGAGAGACTTGTGTATGACACATATAAGGGGGAAGTAAAAGTGTGGAGACAGCATGCATTCACTCTGGGTTCTATGACCCCAATAGAGGCATTCTCTTACATTCTGGTGAGAGAGAAGTTCCCTGAGGTTGGGCTCCAGCACGAGTCCGAAAGCTCCGAAGACTAAACCTCTGTTCCTGGTGACCGACTCAGATTGGATCCTGCAACATCCCCTCACTTCTCTAGGAAGGATTTCAGGGAGGGAGGGAGGGAGGGAGAGAGGGAGAGCGAGAGACCTTTCGTCAAATCTCTCTTTCCTTCCACACCTCAATCTTAGCATTAATACCACATGTTCTGTGGGGAAGAGCCAAATAATAATAAGTGGTAACTTATATTCTTAACTAACTTGCATACAGATAGCCTGTGTTTTCAGTATTATGGGAGCCACACAATTTCAAACGTTTCAATCATAGTCGTGGTCTTATGGTCAGCCAGATCATGGAGGTCAAAGGAAGGGAGGAGAAAAAAGGCTATCCCTTTGCATAGCCAAAGAGTGCACAGAAAGGAAATTGAGTCAGTAAACTAGTTCAGTTTTGTTGATATTTGTCCTCAAAACTCATTTGTCAGGAAATTCTGTTGTTCCCTTCCCTGTTTATGCATGGATCTTCGGCATAACTCCACATCTATGATGAACTTGTAAACTTGGAAATAATAGCATTTGGGCGGTCATGTGAGAAGCAGATTAAACAGAGCTTAAACATTGCATTTGGTTTAGTTGCCTCTTTAGGGGATAAATGTGAAAGCACATGATGTTTATTACTGTGCCACATTTTTTTCCTCTTAGTTGGCTAAAACTCTGAGGTGCTTCTTTCCTATGCGTGATTTTCTAGGATGCTTGAAGTAATGTTGCCTTTTTTTTTAACATTACTTTCCCATTTGTTCCTTTGCAGGGACCATCCGCCCAGTGCGGCGGAGCTATTATGACCCCTCCTCAGCCCCAGGCAAGGGTGTGGTATGGGAGTGGGAGAACGACAACGGCACCTGGACCCCTTACGACATGGAGGTGGGCATTACCATCCAACATGCCTATGAGAAGCAGCACCCCTGGATTGATCTCACTTCCATTGGCTTCTGCTACATCATTGACTTCAGCACGATGGGGCAGATCAACCGCCAGACCCAGCGCAAGCGCCGGGTCCGTCGCCGCCTTGACATGGTCTACCCGCTGGTCACAGGCACCTTGCCCAAATCTCAGTCGTGGCCAGCAAGCCCCGGTGCAGCCAATGTGCCTCCTGCTCCTGCTTGTACTTGTCCACAATGCCTTCTTGTCATGAGCATAAAGGCAACAGTGGCAGCTGGGAGCAATGGAGGAATGGGAGCGGCAGCTAGCCAGCAGCCTCAGCCTCCACTGCCATGTAAAGCGGTCTCCCTTTCTGGCAGCGCCAAAATCCCCACGCCGGCATCGGTTCACAAACCACAAGATGGAACAGCCACCATGCGTAGCTCTCTGAAGACCCTCACGTCCCAAGTGAGCCGAAGGCAGGCAGTTAGCACACCTGCCCTCACCACAAGCAACTCCCCTGCCAGTCCTCCTAATGCCAACGGCAAAGTGACACACACCAGCCTTAATACATTGAACCGAACCAATCTGCAGCGCCTGGCCATCGCACAGTCCCGTGTGCTCATCGCCTCAGGGTAAGCGCTCGTTTTTGTTATTACTTAGGCCTTCAAGTCAGTGTTGATTCCTGGCAACAGCCCAGACTAGTCTCTGCAGTTTTCTTAGCAAGACTTTTGCAAGTGGTTTGCCACTGTCTGCTTCCTAGGGCTGAGAAAGAACGACTAGCCCAAGATCACTCAGTTAGCTTCGTGCCTAAGGCACGATTAGAACTCACAGACTCGTGCTCCAGCTGGTGTCTTAACCATCACACCAAACTGCCTTTAAGTCAGTGGTGGTAGTGGCGATGGCAGCAGAGACCGAACCATTTCTCTCCAATGTTCTGCTGTTGGGCCGGGCTCCCATACTAATCTTTAGGTCCTGCTTTTGAAGCGCAGCTGCTTTGCGTGGCAAGCAGAAGCGACAGGGAGAGTGCAGGATTGCAGGAGGTGAGTTGGAAAGTCTCTGCGCAAAGTGCGTGTTTGGCATGCGTGCACACAAAAAGTGTGCGCACGCGTGCAAAGCACGCCCACAAAGCCATGCCCACTGAACCAATGGTAAAAATTTTTGAAACGCAACTGCTTTAAGTGCTCGTTTACCACTCCTAATACTACATGTTGACATCCCTCTTCCTACTCACATGGAGGCATGCAGTGTGTGCCCAATATTGTTTTTCTATTATCCATATTTAGACCATGGATAGGTCACTTCTGTTCCTGGAATATTGCAGATGGACCTTTCCCAATTCAATGCTCCCTTGATTTAATAGATTAGAGTGGCTATAGAAGTATGCAGGTAATACCATGTTTCTCACAAAATAAGTCCAGGCCTTACTTTTTTTTGACCCCTGAAAAAACGGGTAAGCCGTCTTTTCGGGGGTGACTTAATTTCCTCCCCCACCTAGAGCGGCCCATACGCACGTACCTCGCCGCGAGGCTGCTTCTATCGGCTGACAAAACCTCCCCAAAGGCAGAGTCCACAGCTGCTTCAGGGCGTGGCGTGGCTGCCCGTGTCCCCTCGCCTTTAGGCGTCTCTTTCGGGCGATGGAAGCTCCCCAAATGCAGTCACCAGCCACTTTGATCGGCCAGTAGAAGCGGCCTCGGGGTGAGCGCACACACACACACACACACACTCCCCTTGCCACAAGGCCACTTCTATCGGCAGACAAAAGCTCCCTTGAAGGCAGAGTCCCCAGCCACTTTGGGGCGAGGCGTGGCACACACACACTCCCCTCGCTGCGAGGCCGCTTCTACCGGCCAATTGAAGTAGCTGGTGACTGCATTTGGGGAGCTTCCATCACCTGAAAGAGACTGCCCTAAAGGCGAGGGGACACGGGTAGCCACGCCACGCCCTGAAGCGGCTGGGGACTCTGCCTTCAGGGAGCTTCTATCGGCTATCGGGGTATTCTAGCCTAGGCTACCTGCAGGGCACTCCTAAAGGCAAGTTTTCTCCCCATCCCCCCCGTCCTTCCCCCACCCATTTCTCTTCACCTCGTGTAGTTCTAACAAACGATGTGAGAAATGGCAGGGAAAAGCATGGTTTGAATAGGCCTAAATTTTGGGGGCGGGGCTTAATTTCACCTCATGCCTAGAAATCGTGCTGGGGCTTCCTATTGGTGGAGGCCGTATTGTTGGAGAAACACGGTATGTAATGCAATAAATTTGGAGAGAGTGTTGAGGGAGGTAATGCAGACAGATTCTGAGTCAAGTTAAATATCTGAACATAGGAAACGTACTGCGTAGATTATAAAGTGTGGTTCAGTTTTGTCAAGGTTTATGAAGAGGAGCCCATGGAGGGATTCTGCTTGAAGACTACATTGCAGAATTTTGAAGAATGATATGTCAGGTGCTTTGGGAATAGAAACAAAAGTGGCTTCTGATATTTGCTTACTGAAGAAACCCTAGCTGTATGTTGTGTGAGACACAACTTATTAGAAAAGTAGGATATACTGAGAAGCTCTGAAGAAACAACAAACTCTTGACGGTCAAATAGAAGTCAGCTGTTTGTAAATATATCTCAGCCCAAATACCAGCAGGATAGAAAATTCCTAAGGAAAACCTGGGACTGACATTGACTGACGCCCCCCATCAGTGCCCCTTCCTCTGTTCATCAAATCCCACAGACCCTTTGAACCATAAAACAGAGAAGCCTAAAAGCCCCTTTTGAATGTTAATGAGGAAGTGAAACATTCTTCTTCTTCTTTACTCTTCAGCTCTGGAGTGGGCTCCTATCAAAAGGCCCATACAATTTTTTTTTCAGGCTGCTGCCCAATCTGGAAGTTACCCCATCCTCAGCATCCTCCTCCTGCTAGGCCTCCCTTGACCAAAACACTCTTTCTTGGACATCTAATTAGCGTGTTCCTTCTCTTTTGTATGATTTTGCCATCAGCCGTCTGTTGCTGGTTGCTCCCCCCTCTGCCCATGACCCTTTCAAAGACTTTCCCATGGAAGAGAGGAAGGGAGAAGGGGCCAAGGCGATGCTTCCCCAGAACAAAAGGCCCTGTGAATAACTGGGAGACACAACCAAGGTTTCAAGAGCTGAATGAGGAGAAGGCAGGCGAATGGGGAGGGCGGGACATGCCTCTCTCTTCAGATTAGAGGATTCTCTGTCTCCAGCTAGCTCCTTGATCTGTAACTACAGCAACCATTGTCCAGTTTAAAAGGTGCCCCACTTTGTCTATATCTCAGCCCTTTCTGTCTCATATATCTCCCATCTATGCCTATTCCAGAGGCCTTGATAATTGCTGCACTTCTGTCTCAGGAGTAAATTCAAGATTGTTCACTTTTGAAAGCAGGAACTTGTGTCTGGAATGTGACACTTTCTTGTGTTCCAAAGCTGATGTCAAGTTTTGTCAGAGGAACCTTGGAGCAATCCAGTGTCATGCAGGCTTCTATGGATTGGGTTGGTTTCTGCTGGTCTTGCAAAGCCGGCAGACTTAGTCCAGATTATTGATGCACATAATTTATAGTTAAATTGAGGATGTGCCATGAGAGTAAAGTTTGATTTTGCAGGAACGTTTATGTGGTGCTGTGAGCAAACAGGATCCCCAAAGGTTGTGGACACGATCTAAGAATGTTTTTTTCCCAAAACACATTGACCAAATTGTAGAAGTTTGTAGAAATTTATCTGCATGATACAAAGCGAAGAAACCTTTTCTAAAGGTTTTGTGGATCTATGATATTAAAACCACAATTGAGCCTAACATTCCTGTTGTTAAGTAAGACATTTGTTAAGTGAGCTGTGCCCCGTTTTACAACCTTTCTCGCCACAGTTGTTAAGGGAACCACTGCAGTTGATAAGTTAGTAACATGGAGGTTAAGTGAATCTGGCTTCCCCATTGACTTTGCTTGTCAGAAGGTCACAAAAGAGGATCCCGTGACTCCTGGGATACAGCAGCAGTCATAAATATGAACCAGTTGCCAAGCATCTGAATTTGATCAGATGAACATGGGGCTGCTACAAAGGTTGTGTGAAAAAATGGCCGTAAGTGCTGTTGTAACTTTGAACGGTGAATAAATGAACAGTTGTAAGTCAAGGACTACCTGTATTTTTCATAATGTGGTCCTATTTTATGTTACAGAATTTTTCTCCACCTTGAGTGGACAAGGAATCTTGTTCATGTTCAAAACACAAAACTTTTTTTGAAAGCCATTCTATGCATACTTCCATCTGTATCCATTTCTACATGTCAACATGGTTGTCCGCTACTCCTCGCATTCTCAGAGTATATTCAGCATTAGGTAAAAATCTTGGTGGATCAGCTCAAGCATTTTGAGTCCAACACTGACCAACAATTTTGATTCAGGAAACTAACAAGAATGAATAGGAGAGCAACAGCTTTCCTGTCATTCTCTAGAAGCCGAGGTTTGATGTATGCCATTTGTGGTTCAGATTGCCATCACAGTGAATTGCAGTTGAGAGCTCAGTCTTTCATGCATTTGTCTAGTTCCCTTTTAAAACCATCAGATTTGGTGGCCATGTTCGTGCCTGATGACAGCCAATTCCACTGTTCACAGATTCGATCAATGCCAATCTGATTATCAGTGCATGGGCAGAATTTGGGCATTGGAGAGTCGCACCAGAGTAGTGAATGAGTCTATGAAATGCATGAAAAAGCTCTTCATGGGCAAATTGGTATAAATTTCTGAGTGGGCACCTGGATGTCTTAGTAACATAATATCATCCTAACTTCAGGCAGAAGTTATAGATCTTAGAGAAATTCAGCTCTGAGATTAAGAATAGGAGGAAGAAAATATCCTGAAATTATTTTATTTAAAAAAAAATGTTTCCTATTGTTCCCATGGCCAGACAGTCCCTAAAACTCATCCTGTAATTCCTTTGGGTAGACTGATGATCATGACTGGAATAAGGTGATCACTATATATCTAACCATCTTTAAGGAGTAATGTGCTTATCACTGATTTTCCTATTGCCTATTAACAGGCTATTGACTGTTACCTACCCTTCTTTCAAGATCCATTTGCTTGCTTGCCTTTCTCAGACTGGGTCTCCTAGCTCAACTAGGCTCTAGGGACAATGTTTGTGCCTTAGGCTGCTAGCAACCAAAGGCAGAGATGTAACCTGCCAGGCTAGACTGTCTAGGCCTGGTACCTTTTAGGATATTAAAGAAAACATCCAGGGATCAATGAATAGGTGGAAACTTCTCTCCACCCTCTGTGTAGCGTGTACAGAAGGTACAGTGGATTCCTCTTTGTTCTCATAGTGTTCCACCTCCATCCTTCAGAGAATCCAAGGTTTGCTTTGACACCTGTTCACAGTTTCTTTCCATGTGTGCTTAATTCTCAGAGTCTCCAGCTTTTACAGAAATGCAGATTCATTTTCCAGCCATCTCTAATAACTTGTGTTTTATTCTCTCATAGAGTCCCTACAGTTCCTGTTAAAAACCTCAATGGCTCAAGCCCAGTCAATCCTGCCCTAGCAGGTAAGGGGACCAAAAACCCTATGGAACCAGAGCTACCATTAAGAATAGAACAGAACAGAACAGAACAGAACAGAACAGAACAGAACAGAATAGAATAGAATAGAATAGAATAGAATAGAATTCTTTCTTGGCCAGGTGTAATTGGACTCACAAGGAATTTGTCTTTGGTGCATATGCTCTCAGTGTACATGTAGAAAAAATAAAATACATATAGCTCTTGATTGACCTAACCAAGGGATCCTTAAGTGGGAAGATATTTTGAAACCCTGACCTCTGCAGGGTTTTTCCAAGACACACTGATGGAAGTGGGGAAAGGAACCAATTCTTTCTATTCCTTCAAGAAGTGGAAGAGGAATATGGAGCAAGTGCATGAATGAAGATGCGAGTTGTGGTGAGGAACAAAAAAAGGAAGGTGATGGTGATGATCTACAAGATGGGATGTTCAATGCCCTTGTTGCTTGGGGATAGATAGAGACATACAGTGCAGCACATCTAAAAGGTCGAAGTTTTGGGAAAACTAGTGTACACCTGCCATAGGGAGGGAGTGCAACTTTAAAAGAGAAAAAAATACTCATTTTAACTATGTGCTTAGGCTCAAACGTATTATTGTTGTGAATGTTAATAAATATTGATAATGGTTTATGCGTGTTTTAGAAGTTTGGATTTTAAAAAACCTCAAAGTTAATGCCTTCCAAATAAGTTAGCTTCCCAAACCCTGAGGCCAGCATGGCATTTTAGTCAACGTTTGAGGAGGATATGACATTGTCATGAGATTGTTTAATCTTCTGGTTTCCTTTAGTTTAAAGCATTATAAAAATTGGAACTGGCAAAGAGCCACCCTGCGATAAATGGGTAAAAATGGGTTTCATGGATGAAACAAGATTCTAGCTAGCCCATAAGTGTAAGACAGAAATAAAGCAAAGGAAGAGGCTGTTTACAAATGCTTGGACCCTCCTTTCTCCTGCCAGGAATCACGGGGATACTTATGAGTGCTGCAGGGCTCCCTGTCTGCCTAACTCGACCTCCAAAACTGGTTCTGCACCCGCCTCCAGTCAGCAAGAGTGACATTAAATCCATCCCTGGCATCTCCAATACCTGCCGTAAGACTACCAAAAAGCAGACCAAGAAAGGTAAGAACCTGAGCTTCTCCCTTTCTTCCTATTGCCCCACCTCATTAGAATAACTGGAAGGGGCAGGTGTCCAAAATATACAAACTCATAAAGAGAAAGAATGTGCATTGTAACTTATTCAGACATCATACCAAACCAGATTTTGTGCTGACTGAAGTTAGAAGCTGAAAGATACAGTAGTTTGAGGCGCCAGCTTTACCTTGGGGGGAAAAAGAACAACAACAACAAAACAGGTTAAGCTTGCTGGGTCAACACCTGCATCTTCCTTTTCTGCCCCAGTGTGTGTCCCTGGCTGCTTATGGCTTTTGGCTGAGGGTGATCAGGTGTTCTGATTCTCTATTGTTTTGGGCTGGCTGCTTCTGGAGGGTGATGGTATATTCCTGTCTTTGGAGGGCTCAGTCTGTGGATCTTTCTTCTTTCTCTTCTCTTCTGGTTTCTTGTAACTATCACTCAGGCATTGTTCAAACACGTTTTGTTCTCCTGCGCTGCCCCCCTCTCCGCTTCCATTTTGCGATCCCATCCACATGGGTTTCTGTATCCGGTGAGGGTTGGACAGTGGCAGATATCCAACCAGTGTTCTTCCAAAATGCTCTTCTGCATTACCTAACACAGCAGATGATTTGTACTCCTCTGGCTCATACTTTCCCAGCCAGCCGTAGTGAGCATGATGTATTGCACACTCTCTCTGGTATGCGGCTTTTCCTTTTTAAATTGACCTTTCTTCAAGGTGCTCCACATCTGCTTGACAAATAGTAAGCCTTACTTCCAGGTGACAATGGAGTAAAAGAGGTGTTAGAAGCCTCTGGTCCCTTGTGTGTGTCTGTGTATAGAACACAGAATCACTGTCATTAGAGTGAGCGCACAAGTTTGCCGACCAGCCTTGTTAAAAGGCCACAAGGGCAGATGCACTCACCGTGCTCCTTTCATGATAAAGAGCTAACGCTTAAGTTGTGCACTGCAATCTGCTGTCAGTGGAGCAAGCGCCTTCCTTATCCACCCTGCGCAATGACATAGCCAGACCTTCTTCAGGACAATCTGTAGCCATCTTGGCCCTTCAGGTCTTCCGACACTGCACCCACCGCTGCTGTAACTGATTCTCACCACTTTGCTGCTGGTCATTCTGTTCTTTGCTTTCCTTCCACCTTTCTCAAAGGGAGCACATACAGAGTACGGTTGTCTCCTCAAGTATCTAGAGAATTGCGAACATCAGGGATAAGGGTCATTAGAGGTGGGTAATGTGTAGATACTGTGCAACCTCAAGTTCCATCTTTGATCACAGATCACATTTGATGGCAAAATAATGAAGCCAATGATACAGTGTCTCACCTTTTAGACGGGTAATGTTGTACAATTAATATAGTAAAGCTAGGGTGAGGGCAACCTTTCAGTAGCTGGTGTCCATATAATACTTGGTAGGAGAAGAGCTTAGGATGGGGGGAGGGGTAGACTGATATAAAGCAAGTGGAGAGATGTGGCACATATAGTTGAAACCACATTTTTCTGGTCCTTTTCCCAAATTTTGGGGTTTTTCTTTGGTTTTTAACTGCTAAGGCTATTTTGGGCTTCTGCTTCATTCCGTGGACATTATTTTTGCCTCAAATAGCAGAGCAGTTTTCAGCTGCTGTGGTTGGAGAGTGCTTTGAAGGCCAGAGAGAGGTTTGAGGCAACTCTTGAAACTTTTAAGTTGTTCACTCCTGCAAAATAACCTCGGTTGGGTTAGAATTCTTCACAGATGCTAGAGAATAATGTAAAAAGTGAGAAATTGTGCCTTGAACTAATTAAGTGATGCAGTTCCATCTGTGAGTTGCCCCTCATATCCAGGGGGGAAAAAATCAAAAAGTGAGCAAAAACATAACATGTCCCTGTTCTACAAGATTCCATTGTCTGTTCTCTGCCCTAAGATATTTCCTGTTCTTAAGACAGGATAAGGTTTAGGTTTTTTTGTCAGATTAATCTGTTGTCTTTGTTTATCTATTGAAGACAAAGGCGCGTTTTCCCCAGGGCACCGAGTAGAGATTCTTCTTTAAGTTTTGCTATCTCCTCAGTGCAGAGTTTAGTCACTCATCCGTGCAGCTGCACACAAAGGTTATGGGTATCATACGTTCTTTCATAGAATTATACTCCTGAAAACAGCAGGGAGGCTAGAAGGATGAGGGCCATCGTGTAAAGGAGTCAGGATTGAAACTGCTTAGCCTGACTTTGGTTTGCAGCCACCTTTCATCTGGAGGCACATTCAAGAATATTGCAACATCAGAAGGAGAGACAAACTGGCTATCCCATACATGGGTGGGGTGTAATTTTTGACTCACTGTGGAGTTTGAGCAAGTTGATATGATGATTTAACCTCCGTCCTTCTTCTTGTTTCTTAATTTTTTAGAGGTGTAGACCTGATTGTTAGCCTATTTAAGATTAAAACAAGCACATTCTTTCTGTACCCTGCCACTATGGCTGTTAATAGCAAAAAGCAGAGCTGTAGCTAGGTTAGAATACTGGGAAGCTTAAGGTTAAGAAGCCCACAGCAAAAGTTTTATCACTGTTTTTATTTTCTTTCTACTTAGCCTGCCTCTTTGAATCATGCAGGTTTACATAGGGACGCAGCTTCAGTTAACATACATTGATGAGGACATTGCATAGTATAGGAGCATGGAGGCTCACAAGGTTAGGAAACTGGGTTGACAATCAGCAGGCTTATGTTCAAGACCCCTTGCAGGGCAGGATGAGTTCCCATCACATGCTCCCATCCAAGGAGTTTCAGCTCCAGCTGAAAGTGGGTGACCACAAGTAGATAAATGGGTGCTCCTTCAGCAAGCAACTTCATGGGACACGAAAGGATCCTCCAAATGGGTGTAGTGCACCGAGGTGCTTTTGACATGGAAGAACAGAGTACAACATGTGTACTGTTATACTCTGAAAATAAAGGTAATAAGAAGAAGATTGCCTGGTATCATAGTTAGAATAAGGTGGTGTGCAATATACAGTACTTCAACATACTGCTGTGTAGCTTATCTCTTTGGTGGATGTTTCCCCAGAATACCAAAGTGGCTAAATTTATATTGCGCTAAGCTTAAGTGCAATGAATTTGGTCTTTGTTTAGTATGTGATATGAACCCACCATTAACTGTGTTCACACACAACACTGCCATAGCTTCTGATTTTGGTTTGCCACTCAGAAATACTAGCTGATTGAATGTCTAGGCAGACTGGGGCCATGTTTCACAAACTATCTGACTTAGTAAGATCTGAATTGATGCAGTACAGATAGTCTTCAACTTACAATCATTCATTTAGTGACCGTTCGAAGTGACAACGGCACTGAAAAAAATGACTTGTGATCATGTTTCACACTTATGACTGTTGCAGCATCCACATGATCATGTGATCAAAATTTGGTCGCTTGGGAACTGGCTCGTATTTACGACTGCTGCAGGGTCCCAGGGTCATGTGATTATCTTCTGCCACTTTCTGAGAAGCAAAGTCATCGGGGAAGCCAAAACCGCTTAACGACCATATTATTAACTTAACTGCAGTGATTCAGTTAACAACTGTGGCAAGGGAAGTCATAAAATGGGTCAAAAATCACTTAACTCGTTTAAAGAGCAGAAATTTTGGATTAATGTGATCGTAAGTCAAGGCCTACCTGTATGTAAAACCAAAGGCTTTGGGGAGAAAACCAAGCTCCACAAAGCTGCGGAATGGCACTTGCTCCCTCCCTCCTTCTCTCTCTCTCTCTCTCTCCCTCTCTCTCTCCCCACCCCCTCTCTCTCTCTTGTAATTCTTTTAAAACTTGTAACAAAGCACTAGGAAGCTGTTGTTCCCTTCCTCCCTGTTTTCCATTTCCTGCCCTGTCTTCCGTTTTCTTGATGGCTATCAGGAAAGAGATAAGTCAGTTTGCTCCTCTTGTTTTGATGTCTAGGTAAAACTACAGAGGAAGTTTTGAAAAAATACCTGCAGAAGGTACGCCATCCTCCAGATGAGGTATGTCTGGTTCTCTCTATATAGGGCATCTATTTCTGCAAGTGTAGGGAAGCCAAGTGTAGCAAAATAGTTATTGATGCAGAGCAATATGCTTAGTATGCAGATTTCAGGGGGGGAAATTAAACTGTAACTATTAGTGGTGCAGTATGCTGGTTAACTATATATTGCTGTGTAGCTTATCTCTTTGGTGGATGTTTCCCCAGAATACCAAAGTGGCTAAACTTATATTGCACTAATGAATTTGGTCTTTGTTTAGTAGGCGATGTGAACCCATCATTAACGGTGTTCACACATAACACTGCCATTAAGTTTGGTTAACAAAATACAGCACGCACACACACACCCTTCCCGTTTTGCCCTTGGTTTACAGTGAAGATGCAGGGAAGGCCAAAGTGTCTTGAGGAATTTTGCTGAGACTGAGAGGAGTAGAACCACTGCAGATGAGGCAGATAATGCTGACTTAGATGGTCAATTCAATATCCTCACTTCCACATGTAGCTTCCTCTCATTTTAATGTTGGGGATGGCAGTGGCAGATGAACTTCTTTTAGATGTATTGTGATGACTCGGGGCGTGACATAAAAATAACCAAGTCACAAAAATAGAAGAAAGTCCCTTTAATGCCTCCAACTTGGTCTCAGTGTCCAATTATCCTCTGCTGGATATCAAACTCTTAAAGAATACAGTTTACAGAGGGAGTAAATGCAGTCCGCACCCAAAGTAAAGTTAATTTGAAATAAAAAACCCAACACATCACTCTAAAGGAATTGCTACGGCAGGCAAGGATGATTAACTGCAGACTTCTACCAGATAATGCAGAAACCACAGTTCGGAGGAAGCCAAAACACCGATAAGCTCCGATAAGAATGCGCGCTTTGCTTCCAGCAACTTTGCCATGCGCAGTTTGTCCTTTTAACCAGTCCTCCCAGCTGCAGCCCATGAAGGGGATCAGGGCCCCTTCCTCCCCTATAGACCACGCCACTCACGGTTCTCCCTTATCTGCTCCTCCCTGCATGCCCTTGGATGAAGAGGGGATGGGCCTGGGTCTTCCTCTGAATGCCCATGCAGCCTGTGCTCTTCCTCAGTTTCCTCCACAACAACCGGAGCCACATTCCCACTCCCTATCAGCTGTTCCATGTCTCCCTCCGAGTCAGACTCCAACAGTGGCATGACATGTATCTAGTTCCAAGGAGATCAATAAGACAGCAACAACTCACACCTGTGTAACTTAATCTAAACTTAATCCAGTATTTCCCAACCTTGGTAGCTTGAAGATGAGTGGAGAATTCTGGGAGTTGCATAGTCCACACATTCTTCAAGTTATCGAGATTGAGAAACACAGCTGCAGACCAAGTATTCTGATGCTTTCTCACCTAACAATTTCCTGCTTCTCTTTAGGACTGTACCATCTGCATGGAACGCCTCTCTGTTCCCTCAGGCTATAAAGGACCTCAGCCAGTCGTCAAGCCAGAATTGGTGGGCAAACTGTCCAAATGTGGCCACATGTATCATCTCCACTGCCTTGTGGCCATGTATAACAATGGCAATAAGGTATGTTCCTGGGATAGGAAGGCAGAGTTGTGGTGTATTGCTGTTCTTTGGGAAAAGACTGGGAAAACCAAGAAACTTATTCAAGGCTGAATAGCTAGCAGTCTTCATATTTAAAAAAATAAAGGCCTCTGGAGGATACTGTGACTCCATGCCAATCGTGATGTTTTGTTCTGCATTTAAAGTGGAGGAAGACACAAGGGACAAGTTGGAGCTTCAACAAATCCAAATTTGTTAAATTCATAAGCTGTAGGGGTAATACATACCATAGTTTATTTGGCTTCCTCTAAGAAATGTTGCACATGCTGTAGGAAAAGTCTTTGTGCTGCTCATCTTTAATTGTGTTGTTGATTCTTACTGTATTGTAATCCTGGAAAACAACAAGTGTAATAAGAATTGGTCCTCTGAATTGGGATCACACAAGTGGCAGTATTTCCCCGTGCTTCACAATCCCGTGGATGATTTCTAATGATCACCATCTAATAAACAGTTTTTTGATTTGCCAGTTATTGAGTTATGATTCTGTGATGGTACATCAGTCTAAAAATCTCATTATTAATGCATTGTTTGAGAGAACAAGATTCTCAGTCTCGGTTATATGCCAGTGTTTAGGCAGGATGTCTCTTAGCAGTTGAAGACTGCCTGACTTACCATTTGAAAAAAAAGCCACCATTTTAACTGCATTCTGTCATGGAAAAAAGTGATCCGTGGAAAAATGAACCAAAGCAGTAGAAATTGATTTTTTAAAAATTAAAATACTCCAAAACATTGACCACTGTGTCCCAGCCAATCAGACCAAGACACCAAATACAGATTTGCAAAGGACTGTATAGAAAAATATACATTATCAGACACAATTACTTACAGTTGTCTAGAGAGGACCCCCCCCCCCAACTCTATTTTAACAATAAAATAATCACATAAATCTAAATCTTAAGGCTTGTGCCTTAAGCTTCCACCCTTGATCTACATTCCTTCTCTCCGATAAAGTACTAAATACTCCATTTACAAGCCTGGCATTTTTATGCCCTGTTATCCTGGGGGGTGAGGGTTATGCCCATTGAACTACATTGCCAAATCTTTCTTGATTATTTAATATAATTGTACAGGAATATGATTTTGAACAGACAAAATCAACTTTTAACTAAGAAAACAAAACAAACAACCCCCACATTAACAGATGTGCTTTCAATCAATTTTCGAGCACATGTACACGGAAGTTGGATCACATATCACACTAAACTTATTTTGTTTTGGCTGTAGTTTAATGTATCCTGCAAACCATAGACTTGGGCTTATTTTATTCTTGATTTAAAAATTAAAATTAAAACTGCATTTTATTTTTGATAAATATATATGTATGTGCATGTATGTATGTGTGGGTGTGTGTATATATATATGTATGTATGTATGTATGTATGTATGTATAGATGATAGATAGATAGATAGATAGATGATAGATGGATGGATATAGAGCATATATATATGTATGTGCATGTAAGGGTGAGTGTGTATATGTATTGTGTATGTATGTGTATGTTTGTGTATGTATTTCTTTTGAGAGTGGGCATGAGAGTTTCATTTTCTTAATGTGCGCTAGTATGTTCACACAAAAAAGGGACAATAAAGGTTATCTTATTTTAAGAGGAACAAACTAGAAAAAGAATCCAATTATGGCTTTTGCTTGTTTGCTGCTGAGATCTATTGTAGTGAGTCTAGTCAATAATTTACTCAAATCAAAGGCAAATTCTGATAATTTACCGTAATTGAAGAATCTGGTTTTTCCTGACTCAGAATTAAATTGAAACTTCAGAATTCACCAGCTCCCATTTGGGATCCATGGACAGAAAGACACTCATCTCTGAGTCTCCATTTAATAGTATTTTCAAAACTTTATAGAAGCTTCACTACTGTTCCCTGGGCTAAGAAAGAGGCTTTTTCTTGTCAGCTGAGTTCAAAACATTTTTGGACCTGTGAGGGTGGATTTAATTATTGAAGGAACATATTTTCTCTCCTTTTTAAAAATTCAGTTCTCATGCTGCTTATTAAAACAAGGACTAATAATATTCTCATATTACATTTTAAAAGATAACTTGGCTCTATGCTTAAAACTGCAAACTATGATTGGAAGAATTTAACATATGTAGTTTGAATAAAATGCCTGGAGGGTCTAAATATGCAAATAGAGATAGAAGAGACCTTGTCTTCAATCTTCCTTAATCTACTTTTAGGTGGGTTTTTTTTTAATTTGAGGATGTATGAAGTTATGAAGCATTCTGGACAGTGAGAGCTTATCTTTCCACTATTCCTTTACCACTTGTTATTTTACGGTGTTGGTAGTATAATTACTTAGTGTCATTTTGATGTTTTTTTTAAATTCTGTGCTGGTGTTATTATTTATGTTCTTTGCTTTTAGGATGGGAGCTTGCAGTGTCCAACCTGCAAAACCATATATGGGGTGAAGACTGGCACCCAGCCTCCTGGAAAAATGGAATATCACCTCATCCCCCATTCACTGCCAGGACACCTTGACTGTAAAACTATCCGAATAATCTACAACATTCCACCAGGAATACAGGTGAGTTTCGAGGCAGGGGTCTTAAAAGGATTGCAATTGCAACTAAGACCATAGTGGGCAACGTGGTATTTAGATTTTAACTGTATTTTTTTTATCCTGCTCCGGTAAACCTTCTGTAAAAAGGTTTCAAACTATTCCTGGTGGCTTCATGGTCATATCTTTCAGTTTTTCCGGGAAACAAAATAGAAACCTTTAGCCACCAGCTTCTTTCAAGATGTCTCCAGTCCATGTAGTCCAAGCCAACTTAGTTCTCAGCCCTTACACTCTCAATGAGGTAATACCATCTGCTGAAGCTGAATTACTTGAGGCATATCCAAAAAAGAGGTTTTAGTTAATTTGTGTGATAGTTGACTCTGTTGGATGTGCGCTGTCTTTTACCTAGAAAAAAATAATTATTTCCTGTTCTTTCTAGGGACCAGAACATCCAAGTCCTGGGAAGAGTTTCACTGCCCGGGGTTTCCCTCGACATTGCTACCTCCCAGACAGTGAAAGAGGCAGAAAGGTAGGAGACATCTTAATACTATAATAAATATAAAAATGTGTCTCTGGAACAAAGGTCTAGTTACCAAAAACAGTGCATTCTGTCTAGGGCACGAATGTGTCGTTGACTGACATTAGAGAGTTTCTTCTGAACAACTTACACAATAGTAGCTTATGTTGCTTTGGATTCTATGAAGGAAATAGAGGCCTAGAAGGGAAAGAAGGACTGTGTTGTATTTGTTCCTAACCAACGGAGTAGTTGAGGGTGATGGAACACATATATGCACACATATATCCCCCTCCCACCCACAATTGTGAGTAATTATATCTTAGCATTGGAGAAGAGGATCCAATTTGCTAGGGAGAGTTTGCTTGTAGTTGAGTAAATAATTCAAAGCCAGTCAGTAAATGTCATGGTCTTCTCAATCTTAATCCAACATCTTCCCTATTGAATGCTCCTTCCAATGTGCTTGATGTAACCAGGAGTATTCCCCTTTGGGAAGAGGGAAACACTGCAAGAAAGTTTGAAGCAGGGAAGGCTTTGGAGCCTCTATTAGTGCTTGTAATGTTATTTCAGTTGTACAGATGTGCTCGTGGAATTTATCCATATCCATTGGGTAGATTCGCACCAGAATCCAGTTGTTTGCAAGAATATCAGTAGAAAAAAAATTGAGAGTGATTTTGCTTGGGTGATGTAAGCCCCTTCTCATTTGGATACCCTTCTAATATTCTTCCATTTCCTCCGGCAGGTGCTGAAACTGCTGTTGGTGGCCTGGGATCGGAGGTTGATCTTTGCCATAGGCACTTCAAGCACCACTGGGGAATCGGATACAGTCATCTGGAATGAGATTCACCACAAGACGGAATTTGGGTCCAATCTCACAGGCCACGGCTACCCTGATCCCAACTATCTAGACAATGTACTTACTGAGCTGACAGCTCAGGGAATAACAGAGGAGAGTGTGATGCAGGAGAAGGACTGAAAGTGTAAGAGGAAAGGGGAAGGACTTTGTCCAAGGGAGGAGTGACAAGTATAGCAGCGTGTGCATGGAACAAGCTCCCCCCTCTTCCATTGTGCCTGCTCTGTCCTCTCACCCTCCTACCGTAGGCCTCTTAAAAGGCTCAGCTGTGGTTAGGCAGCTGTGGGCTTGCTTAAATGAGGAACTCCCAGCCGGTTTTCATATGTGGCCCACAGCACCTGATGTATAAAAAGCAAACAAACCTGGGAAGGTTTGTGTGTTCCTCTTCAGCATGAGGAGGAGTGTCCTGTTGAGGCCTGAGGTTATATTAACCTCAGTACCCATAGCTACTTTAGCTTTGTATCTCAAAAACTGGGCTTGGGCCCTCTCTGGGATGCAGTCCCATCTTCTGTCCATGAACAATAAGGGATGGCTTTGGGCAACGGGCAGCTTGGAATGGCAGAATCATGTGCAAGTCAAAAAATACGGCTTTGTTTCAGAGGTACAGAAGATGGAAACCAGCCCCCTCGTTGTCGTTCCCTCCCCCCTTTCTTTCTTATCCAGCTAGGTGCCTGGTTCCATGTTGTCATGTCCCTGCTGCTTTTGTGTCATGGGCTCAATGTGAGTCATGATATACGCTGTCTGCCGGTCTGGTACTTCACTCCCTGCCAGCTTCCTTTTTTTGAGAGGCTGCATCTGTAGTTCCCACCCAAGGTAGTTGAGCAGGAGGCCTGCGTATTGCTCCTTAGGGAACTAGATTGGAAATTTGTTCTCTTGAATGCATTCCAAACTGGGTCAAGGCATGCCAAATCTCTGCGGCCCACTTAGGGTGGATGAGAGCAGAATGAATTAATTGCGGCTCGTATTTGATCTGAATGTGAAATAGGGGCAATAAATCTCTTTGGACCTGCCTGTCTCCAAAGCCAAGCCTTGTTTTTGCTCTTGTAGCTGGGGGTGTGCCGGATCAAGTTGGGCTTTGGTTGAAGTGCAGACTAGCCCTCTGGGTCAGATCACATCAACTGACTTCCCAGATCAATGCTGAGCTGTGTGTCCCAGTTTTGTTTATGAATTGCATCATTGGGGAGGCTGCTCTACGTCTAATCTGTTTCTGTTGGGGGTTAGAATCAACAGGGATCAGGGGGCTGGTGAGGGAAAGACACTTCCCTCACTTTTCCCCACAGTTCATGGTGGGTTCTTTGAACTTTCTGTATGGGGGAGTCCCCGGAAACCGATTTGAATTTATTTACCTCTTGTTTGGGGGATTTGTCACATATATTGTGTGTGGGTGTACGTATGTATGTATTTGTAATGAATGAGAAAGAGACTTTGAGGGTAGAATGTGTAACACAATGGTACTTAAAGTTAGACCTGGAGGCTAAGAACTGTCATTGATTGCCGTGGTATTAAAATAAGATTTCCCCACACACATACACACACAAACACACACCATTTTGAAAGGGCTAGGCCAGGATTAAAACCATGAGTCTGGTGATTGGGGCAGACAGGATATGAATACAATTATCAATAGATCTATGTTGTACACCTACGTATATTTGATTTGCATATTCCTCACTCATCACTTGAGACTTTCAAGAAGAGATTGGACTGCCATTTGTCAGAAATGGTGTAGGGTCTCCTGCTTAGGTGGGGGGGTGTGTGGACTAGATGACGTACAAGGTCCCTTCCAACTCTAATTATCTGTTATCTGTTATCCTCACCTCTTTCATTTCCATTAGTCTTGAGGCACTATAAAGATCTCAACAAGTGAAGTAGGTTCAAGTGAGAGTATAAAAGAAATGAGCATTTTGGTGGAGCTGACCATATGCTTATCCACATGGGTAACAGTAGATACACACACACACACACACACACACACACACACACACACACATAAGAGGAAGAGCACAGAGGTCGCACAAGGCTAAGACTGCAGCGTGTAACTATTCAGGAGCTCCCAAAGTTCTCATTTTTATTGGTATTTCTTTCCAAGAAGATGGAAACATGCTCATAGGCTTGATTTCTTTAGAAAAGTTAAACTATGTATCAGTCTCCTCTTTTTGGATACCCTGATATAGAAGTTAAAACAATATCCTGCTAGCTCTTTTCCTAGTTCTCTTCTCCTAACATTAAATTCTTAAATCTTCACCATAGTAATAGTAAAAAAGGGCTATCAATGGTTCTGAAGTGTCCATCATAAAACTGAAATCCCTTTTGCAGTGAATAAATCAATAGAGCATTTCCCAGCTGGGTTTGCGGTTTCAAGCATCTTGTCTTAGTAGACGAGAATAACAAATTTCCCTTTCAAGGTTTCTTAATACCACCTCTCCCTTGTACCATATTTCCTCTATAACCATGGCATTCCCTCATATGCAACTTAATCTCCAAGATAAGGGAAAGGGCTGGGAAGATCACTTTCTTGCCATCAGCATCTCCCAATGGAAGGGGGTCAATTTGCTTTTTTCTTTTGTATTGTTTGGGCGGATTGGTTTCTTCTTTCAACTCTCCAGATTTTCTTTAAATTGCATTGTAGAGTATAAGCAACTTGATGAACGAGTCTTATCAGGAATGATAAGTTTTTGGTTTCCGAATTTTGGGTCCCAAAGCAGATTGTGTGGGCGCTGGTAGTGGGATAGGGAGCGGGAGGGTGGGATATGGGAGCCATATTGTATATTGTTTGTTGTTTGTGAACGGTGCGTTTTGCCCGTCTCTTAGTTCGTTGCCTTGCTTGAGGATGGCACCCTTGGGGTGTAACAATAAAAGGAAAATTCCACTGCCAGTTTGAATCATGTGTTGTGTTTGTCTTTTCTAAGTCTGTGCTTCTGTCTGTTGCTTATATCTTTTTGTTTCAAAAGTGATCATGTACAGTTTACTTACCTGGAGAGCCGGTAAGGGGAGAGGGCTGAGGGGAGTATTTTTTCAATCACAATAAATGTTGGAGAATCAGTTCAACAGAAATGAACAGAATTTGTTCACTACAATGGAGTAGTCCTAAATTATGTAGTAGTATATAATCATTTAGAGACAAATCGAAGTGTCCCTCTACCATGTAAGAAAATGATGTGAATGCAGAAAAACAAAAACCAACTGAGTTATAAATAAACTTGGAACATATTTATAGAGAGGCTAATTGTCAAGGACTGTATAAGGCTTTCCTGAGGGTTTCCGTGACTGCACAATTAGCAGAAATCAAAGCGTCTCTTTCTCCTCAAGCTAAAGTCGTAATGCTGGAAAAATCTGGGCTTGCAGTGTGTTGCCTCTTGTGCAGTGATTACAGAATCAAATGTTGGTCAGAACTGGGTCAGATAGAAACAAAATCCAACTCAGGCACCAGATTGAAAGAGTTTTGATTTTTTTGTTTCTTTTTTGCTTTTTGAATAACTTTTAAGGCCTTTCATACAACTTGGAATTATATTCTGTTCTATTTGTTTCCTTGATGAGAACACAATATGCCAGGCAGCCACACAGTTGCTGTTCTTACTACATTAGCTGTAATTATCACATTTCAAAATATGGCACTTGTTTTCTGAATCCAAAGATATTCTTATGCAAAAGCACTAGATATTATTTTAGCTGTCAAAATGTTTTCTCACTGAATTTCTACCTTTGCATGTTTTAGTTTTTTTATATATTACTTGAGTGCAACCTTTTTGCATCTTCAGTCTCCTTTAAGAGGGATTCCTTACATTAAGCTATAACCAGGACAATGAAATAAAATAGAAACAAGCTTTCAGAAGGTTGATGTGGTTCTTTGACTGCTCCCTAAGGCTCCTTTATACAAAATGCTGTTTCCTAAAGTGTATTTCTGTTAAATTTGTGTTTTTACAAAGAGCACAATTTATATATTTTTGCAATTTAGACTATATTTTAATGCATTACTATTCTTGCAGATTTGTTGGATCAAATAAACCAAATACATGTGATTTTCTAAGTGGCCTGCTGTGATTTTCAGGAAAATAAGGGGGACAATTCATATAACAGGTGGACAAGCACTGTGATTTAAGGGGAAAAAGAATCAAGCATGAAAGTACCTCAAGTGCAGGTAAAAATAGGTTATTGTGTAGAAGCCCAGCAAGGGCACCACAAAAGCGCATGTCCAAAGGCTGGACTTTCCTTCCAGGAGTAGGGGGAGCGACTCACTGAAACATTGTGGAAGATTTCCTTTTTCTAACACCCTTCCCACGAGGATATGCATTCATGTAAAGAAGAACTGAGCACAGAGGTCCTATTCTCAAGGGAATAAATGGTGCTAATGCACCAGACTTGTATTTTACTTGTGGGGTGAGCTCATGGGAAGGAGGAGGAAAAGAGAAAGAAACCTGTCTTGTTGGAAGATAAAAGCCCTCTCTCCTGTTCTTCATCCACACTTTGTATCACTGAATAAGATCTAACATGTGAAGTTGCTTTGAATTCTGTTCTTGTGTCTTCTCCCCATTTCCTTCTTCCGTCCATCCATCCATCCATCGAACAATATTTCAGAATGTCCCTGTTCACCAAAAAGAAGAGAAATGCCAACCCTGCCTGACATTCTAGGCAAACTATACCTATCTCTTGAAAAGAGAAATTGCCACTTACCTTTATTATTACCTAACTTGGCTCTACAGCACTGCTTGTAAAAGTCTAGAGTATAATTTTGTTAAATCCTCATATTATCCATTTTAAGTTTACAATTAGGGGATGGGGAAAATATAGCAAGTATATTTTAGCTAAGTCGCACTATCCAGGTACTTTTAAACTACAAGAGAGCATGGCAGTCTACTTTTCCAATGTTCTCATGTTGCCAGAACTAAACGCATGAGAAAAGGACAAGAAAATCAGCAGAAATTGTTCCAAAGTCTAGAATTGCTAAGCATAGAGAAATGTGGGTTACAACAAGTGGATTTTAGTCAGTGGTGGGATGCAAGAAGAAAGAAGATGATTGTGTAAGGTAAAGATCTTTACCATCGGTAATAATGATGTGATCAACCCAACTAAGATCTTGTTAACCTTGTCTCAACTTAAAAAACAAAACAAGATCTGGCTTGAGAAATATTGGGATGGGAGACTATTAAGAAATCCCAGGGGTAAATGCTAGTCTAGAGATTGTAAAAGGCACCTTAGTAGAAAACAGTGACAAACCTTCCCAGCATTATTACCAAAAGAAAGAAGTATGTTACAAAGTCATGCAGAGCTGAGTTCAACCTAGACATTCATCAATCATCTGTGAGTAGCCATTGGATTCTAGAAACAGTTACTTCCTATAAATTGCTGTAGAGCTCTTTCCCCACTTGACTAATAATCTAAAGGCAAAGTAAAAATGTAGGTTGTCACTAAATCTGAAAGTAAGACTAAATAACAGTTTGGCTTGAGTGTGTTGCATCTTACTAATGCCAAACGTTGCTGTTTTCAAAATGGCTCACTAACCACTAATTATTAAGGAGCCATGGTGGTGCAGTGGTTAGAATGCAGAATTACAGACTAACTATGCCTACTGCCAGGAGTTGGATCCTGACCAGCTCAAGCTTGACTCAACCTTCTATCCTCTGAGATCAGTAAAACGAGGACCCAGATTATTGGAGGCAATATTCTGACTCTGCTTAGAGAGTGCTGAAAAGCACAATGAAGTGGTATACAAGTCTAAATGTTATTAAGGACTTTAAACACAGGCTAAACAATAGCTTCCCCATGTTCTTTTGAAGACAGGAGGGATACTCCTCTTGATTTAAAATGGAAGGTTTTCCACAGTTTTTGCAATCGGCTATAGTGAGATAATAGATCTTGTCACACCTGAAGGCTAAAACAGATTTGCATAAGCTTTCCACATTTATATCTCATAGGCCATGTTCTACAGCAGTTTCCCTAAATTGTGAAGCTCTCCAAACGGGACTTCAGCTCCTAGAATTCTCAGCAATGACCATGCAAGGTGAAACATTCTGGGAGATGAACTCTGCATATCTAGAGGGCATCCTGGTTGAAGAAGGTTGTCCCACAGGTGATAAACCCAAAAGAGCAGATGCTGGGAGATAGCAAAAGCTTACATCTGTCAGGCAGTGCTTGCCCGTCCACATTTCTGATTGCAGTGACTTCCTGAAGAAGTGCACCTTGGATGCCATTGCAACTTCTGTGCTTTTTAATGAGCTGTCACAAGAAAGAAGGTCAATCCACATACCATGCCAGCAGGATCATTTCTGATTTATTCTTACATTACTGATTTGGGCATGGTGTGGCAGTATAAGACACAAAAGGCACAGAACAAAAAATATGACACGAATGCTTATTTACAAGTCTTATTTATAGCGTCTTCATGTTGCCAACCTGAGATTTGCACATATTCTCAAAGGTTGTCAAAATAGCTTTAACCAAATACATTTATCAAACTTTCAGCGTGAATTAGATTGCTCATAGTGATGTTACAATCTTTCTCCAGCTTTTTAAACAGCATTCAATGACAACAATTTTCTTCCGTGTGCCCAAAGTAATCCCCCTAATCCACACATTTTTTAACTTGTAACATCCAAGCTAACTAAATGCAACAGTAGGACACATGTGGAATTATTTTGGGTGATGGGTGCCCTTGAGCCAATCTGCATGGGACCATCGCTCTTAAACTCCAGACCTGCTGTTGCCACTTGATGTCAAAGCAGCCATTCAGAGAGACCAGTGATCTGGCTCAGGGTAGGGCAACTGCCAATATTCCTAATCAAATGGAAAGCACATATTTTTTTTGTCCCTGATTTTGCATCTAACTCCTGAGTAGAGAGAAAGACAGTAGAAATTTCTTTAGGGTTATAAATTGCTTGTAATAAAGAGATGAGTCAAAGCCCACAGCAAAGCTTGTTGGGATACAATAATCTCAAACCTTGGATCCAGTCAGTATGACTAATGGCCATACCAGAATTTTAGAACTTATAGGTAAAAGGCATGAAGTTAATAAGCCACTAAACTGGTTGTTTTTCCTGCTCTGGCTGGAGTGTATCCTCCTCCTCCATTTCAGGCAGGAGGCCATAAACAGGATTATTCGACATCAGACATGTCTTCTCTCCCTCTGTCTTGCTAAACTCCCTTTTCTTGTACCTCTTACATACACGGACAACTAGTCCGATTAAAGCGGCCAAGCCAGCAGTGGCTGCAATGGCGATCCCTGCTGCTTCTCCCTTTGACAGACCCCTACCAGCATCCCCACCACTCTTCAGGTAGTGGAGCACCTCCTCCAACTTCCATTGCTGAGTCTGTGGATCCTTGACCCAGGTCTGATCCCCATTGCTGCTTGTAACAAGGATGAAATCGGTAGCAAGGAAGCTGATGGCTGGCTTGCGAGTGAAGGGGGGCAGCCGGGCTTGAGGTAAAGGCTTATCTGTAAAACGGCCAGCTTGGACACAATATTCCACTTGACACCCATCGCTGATCAGAGCCAGGTGCTGGCTGAATCCTGCCGGACACCTTTTGAGATATGAGTCATTTTCTGTCCCATTAAGCAATCCGGACAGTGGGTTTCCAATTTGGCAACTAAAGAACCCCCCAAATGGCACCGAATGTCGCCTTCCCCTCTCATCACTACTCACACAAACTTTGAGCTGGTCAAAAAGCTTCAGTGGGTAGTACCTGGATGGACAGGACTGAGCATTAGTGACAGGATTGGTACTCTTGGCACTGAAGAGTCCTCCAAAGAGAAATGTGGAGGTTTCAGAGACCGGGCCTCTCACTGCACACCAGTGGGAGCTAAACTGCACTTTGGAGAGAGTGAAAATGTCGTTGCAAATCCACTTGCAGAAAAGTTTCCAAAGAAAGCAGTCTCGACGGCAATCTAAGTGGCTGAATCCTTCCTCATGTTGTTGAGATCGCAGTTTGATGGAGGTGTAACCCACAGGGCAGGAGAAGTCTCCCGTGAGGGGGTTCTTCTGCTCAAGGGCTTGGCAGAGCACATCAGCATCAGGGCCTTCTAATTGAGCACACACTTGGTAGACTCCTCCAAAGGTAAAATTGGTTGCCGTCCCTTCACAGGTGCCATCATCCACATTGGCATAGAAGTTGAAGTTGGGTGAAGCTGGATTTATGCAGCCGGGATAAGTGTTGAATGTATAATAGCGGTC